TGTGTGTGTGTGTGTGTGTGTGTGTTAGGTCAGAGGACAACCTTAACCTTAAGTGTCACTCCTCAGACATAACCGCCCCCTTTTTGAGGCAGAGTCCCTCATTGGCTTGGGGCTTGCCTAGGGGTGTACTACCACCACCTGGTCATACCCCACTTTTTAATGTGAGTTTTGGGGATTAAAAAAGTTCTTTGTGCTTGACCAAGCTATCCCTTCCGCCCCAGCTCCAAATATTAGTTTTGTTCCCTCTCCAAGCCACTGCCTCATGAACCGCAGTGATTACTACCACATGTCTATCATGGGTGACCAGCAAAGGACAAAGTGCTGCTGGAGAGCCTGGTACAGGCAGACCAGAGGCACCGGCCCCACCTGAGGTTAACGGGGAAGGACACAGACAACCAGCTGCTCTATGAGCCTCTTGGAGACCACTTTAGCTCTGGTTGTGAGCCCAGCCTTTAGTGGCTGAGTCATCTCCCCAGCCCTCTTGGAGACCACTGTAGAGAACCAATTCTGCCCTCGGGGCCACACTATCATCTGTGTCCTTCAGGACCCAGGCCTGTTGCTTGGGTATGTCACCCCCTCGAGACAGTGCCAGGCCAAGGCACGTAGCCCCAGTTACCTGAGCTCCCACTGGTCTTGTTACCAAGAGAACAGGATAAATATGTTTTTATACTAAAAATAAACTACATTATTAAAGTCATGAAAAGTACTCATGGCAACAAAAATTTTACTTTTTAAAATGATCCCTCTTAGTTTCAAGGAAAAGTTATAGAAATAAAGAAGAAATTTTGACTTTTGAAGCCCAGGCATATAATATAGACCTCCTCAGGAGCCCAGCATCCATCCCTTCCCTGGTTCTAGAAACAAAGACTGCCTGCCATTCCCAGTCCCCTTGGGACTTCAAGTCCCCAGGCCCTGCCTAGAGCCCGGTTTCCCAGCAGCCTGTATTTCTGGCTGGAACAAAAGAACTGCCCATCTCAGGGCGTGTCTGGTACTTCTCCCTGGCAACCTCCACCAAGAGTTCCTCCATATTCCCTTCTGCACAGTAAGACACAATAAAGGATCACAGACAGGAAGACAGACAGACAGGCAGGCAGACAGGCAGACAGACACATACACACACAGAGACACAGATACACAGACACACACAGACAGACACACACACAATGTCCAGGATAGTAGTCCCCTATTTATGGCTTTTGCTATTTTATCTAACCTCTCGCTTCCCTCCATGGTTCTGCCCATCGATTTTAGTATTTATATGGAGACCAGGCAGCCCTGTGTGTCCAGCAACAGTGAGAGACACTGAATGGGGAAAGTGGGTGGGGAGTGCAGGCTGAATGCAACATACATCTATCTCTCTTGGGTCTGCCAAGGATGGTCTGCAGTATCAGGGCAACATGGACCAATTTTAGAGGGTGCTGTGTGTAAGAAAAGGACAGGAGGTTATCTTGTTACATTTTAAAATGATTTATAACTATTTAGGGACTATAAATAATGGCGGATGCTATTACTCAAAAGCTGGTAGTCACTACAGGGCACAGTCAGCACACTCCAGTTTCTTTTCTCTCTACTGGAAAATTCTATTGTATCTATCTTTGGCACTACTGATGCCATTTTTCTGTTGCGCTGCATACAGGTTAACCTTCAAGTCTCTGGTCTGGATGTGGTTTGGCCCTCATGTAGTAGTGGGTCTGTTTAGAGGTGGAGCCAGGGGACTTAGCTCAGATGATAGAGTGCTTACTCTAGCATGCATGAGGTCCTGGATCCAATCCCTGGCACTCAGGAGGCGGAGGTAGGAAGGCTCAAGGTCAACCTCAGCTCCACAAGGAGTTCAAAGCCACTGAGGCCTATGAAGACCCTTGCCCACCACCCTATCCCCCCCCCCCGACTCCCACTCAACCCTCCACACAAATAAATAAGGCAAGAAACCTATTAAGAGGTTTCTGATGCACTACAGCTTGGCTGGGAAAGGATGATGAAGCTATCTAACTTCCTGAGGTAATGTGACCATGCTCTCATAATCACTCCCACCACAGTGATGTCATCAGTTAGGACAGCCTCACCAGAATTCAGTCACTTGCCAGCACCTTGCCCTTGACTCTTCAGGGTGTGAGCTAAAGAAGCCTGCTTTCCTTACAAAGCTAGCCTGACTGGGGTGCTTCACTGCAGGAACAGCACAGTGATATATACTCAACATAGTGTCTATGTGAGTCTCTCGCACACGCTTCTTTAAACAAACAGAAATCAAGGGATCTCGGTCTGTCCCTAACACCCAAGGTTCTCTTGTGCTAGGGAGGGAGTAGGGATAGAGAAAAGAGGATAGAAAAACTAAGATGGACAACTGAGGCACAGAGCAGCTTGGCCAGTTAGTCTAGGTCCCCAAGAGATCTGCTCTGGTCTGACATGTCCTTTCCTGCCCCTGGTAGGATGGAAGCTCCCCCATATTTCTTCACAGATACAAATGGAGTTGGGGATCCTTGAGGATCTCAGGTGACTGGGCATGACCATGGCACATCAAGTGTCCCTGGTAAGACGCTCTGGCAGGAGGAAGTGGCAGGCGGGGGGGGGGGGGCGGGTGAAGGGAGCTATACAAGGCCGCCTTGACTCCTTCGCTGTCAATCTGCTGACGGGCCATCAGCAGATCTCACACATCAAGGATGGCACCATCTTCAAATCAAGATATGTGGTGAGCACACACAGCCCACAGGCTGGGGGAGGCAAGCAGCAGATGACTAAGACACCGTCCTTTACAAGTGCTCTGGTCACCCACTAGGTGCTTAAGACTCCATCAGATTTGGGTACCCCCAAAGGTTAATAAACATCTTAAAATTCTTAGCTGAGACATCAGAAGAGGGGGTCATGGGATGGCACGTGATCAGTTATTTTTTCAAATGCTCTTTTTTTTTTAAATCAAAGCTGTGCCCATTTGTGGGAAGACAGGCCTGGGAGTTGAGAGGAGGAGGAAGCTTCTGGAAGGGCAGCAGGCAATGCCATGCTAGTAAGGGGCGGTTGTGTGCTGGCGAGTCGGAGGGCTGCAGGGAGCAGGGCTGTGGGCCTGTGGGCAGCTGGTCCTCAACCCTTAATAGGAGAGGAACTGGAGGAAGTGGGGGTCAGTCTCTACTGGGTACCAGCAACGCGGATCCCTCAGAGTCACTCTTGACTTCCTGCAGAGCAGGTTAAGGAAAGGGGAGTAGGGGGGTTTCTCCAAAATCTACTCCTACTCCTTGCACTCAGGCCTACAGAGGCACAGGCTGGCTTATTAGCTCAACCCGGGAAAGCAGACAGCTTGCTTCATGTCCGTCCACTCTTCCTTCTCTCCTCACCACACACACCAAGATGTGCATGGTGAGGTCTAGATGCCCTTGAAGGCTCTGGTAGCTTGGGAGGAAGACAGAAACCCTGGAGGTCCACTCCCCCCCAGACACCTGCTCCTGTCTGTCTTTCTGGATGCTATCAAATGTCGCAGACCCTCTTGTGTGTCACCACCATCGCCATCCGTGTTAGGATTAGTTAGGAAGACCCAGAAAGCTACCTGAGCACCAGTAGAACTGCATGACCTACCTGATGCAAGGAAACACCTCACTGGAGGCCCACAGCACCTGCCCAGGATGCTACCCCACGTGGGGCTGGCACTGCCAGCCAGACTGCAGTCCATAGGCCATGTGACACCATTCACTCGGCTGTCACACTCTCTTCCAGGTTGGAGGTATGTTCCGGGGAGGGGGCATTCAAAGGCTTTCTATTTGAACCAGTTCCTTGGTACCTCTGAAGGCTTCGTGCCTACCTGTGACTGACTATCTGCCCCCAGCGTATCTTCTTCCTTACCCTGCTCCAAGTCTGCCACTCCTCTTTGGAATGCAGCTATCTCTGCCCACCAGTCTAGAGGGTTATCACCACAATGCCGGAACAGAGATCAGGAGACCCGTGTCCTTCCCCCATCACCAGCCAGCAGACGCAGCTCAGACTGGCAGGCTTATGCTTCCGAGTTCAGCTGGCTCAAGCGCCCTGGTATAGAGGGCAAGGGGCCTCCTTGATCACCTCCTGATCAGAAGGGATCAGGGTTTGGATCAGACCCCAGGAGCCTCCCTCCACAGCACAGGCTGCAGAGGATGCTAGCAAGCAAAACTGTAGATAGCCAAGGGCTACAATGGTAGTAATTCCATACTGCCAGGCTTGGTGATATACATAACCTCTGCAACTCATAGATGCCAAAAGCTCTGTAAACTCACAAATGACACAGCTAAGTGGAAGGAACTATCCAGGGGCTTTGGGCTGTCTGCCAGAAGGGACCAAGGTGGCCAGTAGTCAATCTCACTCATGGGCCATGTTCCAAAGGTCCATGAACCCTACCCTCAACCAACTAGTTCAGCATTCCGACCAGGTCACCCAAACCACCTATCCCTGAGCCCATATTCCTTCTCAAAGAAGTTCCGGATGCAGCTTCCCCCATCGAAGGTCATCTTATTTCCCAGGGACATGCTAGTGAAAACTGGCAGACTGGAAAAGGAAGGTGGATTCCTGCTCCCAAAGTGTTCACAACTCACAATGGGTCTCCAGGCAAGCCCTCCCCACTCCTCCCTGGAGCTCCCGTTCCACACAAGCATGGGTGTAAAGGTAGACTCTCATTTTGGGGACTTCAGACCTGTAGGGGATTGGAAGAAGTCTCCACAGGGGTTCCCACCCATCAGCGCTGCTTCTAAGGGAGCCCAGAGTTTTCATTCAAACTCACCACATATGATTCTTTATGGAACTGTGTTCAGCCGCATAATAAACAAATATTCTTTGAGACTCTAGCATAGTCCAGGCACTGGGGAAAACATGAGGCACAAGGGCTCCTTCAAGCCACCCACTTTTCAGAGACAGAAACTGAGTGTCCAAGAGGCCTCAAATTAGGCAAAAGACAACCTCAAGGCTGCTGTATACCTGCAGGTTCCCTCCTAGGGCTGAGGTGTGCCCAAATGCTTTCCACACAGCAGGGAACGGAGGTGTCCTCTGTGACACTGGGCGCTACAAAGGACTGGAAATCAGATCCAGCTGACTACCTAGCTGGGCTGGTCTCGATGTGAAATGTCCCAGGACAGGCAACCACTTCTTCCGAACCGATCCCAAGCCTCCATCTCAGGTACTGAGCATCAACAGACGGAAGGTGGCCATGTGACCCCCCACAGCCCACGGGCACACGTCATAGCTGCACTGTGCCTGAGCCCACCAGGTCCTCCCACGGCCTTCCTTCTCCTGGCCTCCAAACCAGCTAACAGGAGATCCCGCCCCCTGGGGATCCCCTTCTCCTCCAGCAGAAATAAATGCTCAGAGCCCAGCTTGTGTCTGTAAGCCCCTGGATGAGGCTCCTGGATCGCCGAGGTTCTCATGGAACCACACCTTCATACAGGTATCAGAGGGGTCGCTGCTCTTCAGTCTGGGCTTCCCACCTTGGGCCAGCCTGGGTTTCACATACTTGGGGTGGGGAGACTCCTGGGCAGCAAAGAAACCCTTAGTCTCTCCCTCCTTGGCTCTGGCTGGCTGTCACGGTGACCTCCCCTCCCCCAAGAAGGGCGGTGAGCTGGGAGATGGGGGTGGGAGAATCCACCGGCTTCACTGATGCTCTCTGGAGGGGGCAGGGAAGCCAGGCAGGGCGTGTCGCTTAGGCCTTTCTCTGCCCAGTGCCAAGCTCCCTGATATGAGATGCCTCTGTACCATCCCCCAAGTCACCTGCTAAAGAGAGAATCTTCACTCTCATGGTCCACACCCCGAGCCCCAAAGAGGCTAATGCATTAGTGAAGGACAGTGGGTCTAGAACCTTCTGCCCAGTCAAATGTAAGCCAGGGGAGCTGAGTGCTCTGTTCCCCTATCAACTGCACCCACTCTTTTTGAAAAGGGACAGGTGTCGTGTCCTCTATTCCTCAGCGGCCATCTGCTCCAGGGCTAGATATGTCCTTTCCCCTGGTTCCGGGGAGGGTTTACAGGGAACCCCTCGGGCGCAACCTGATGGGGTGGGGGCAACTAGTCCCCAGCCCCACCTCGTTCTCCCAAGAGAGGCTCCTGTCCCTTAGCCCACACCCTTGCCGGCACCCAGACACCTGCACCGTGCTCCGCAGCCGGTGCCGCAGTGCGAGCTAGTCAGCGAGCCCGCGAGCCCGGCGCCTAGAGCCACTGAGCCAGCCGCCGCCCTCGGTCCTCCCGGAGGCACCTGCACAGGGTACCCCTATCCAGATCCCATCCTCACCCTCATCCTCTGACCCCAGAACCGCCTCCATCCTTTACTCCGGGTTCTCCCCAGCCCGGCCCCACCCGAGCCGGCCCCATTTCCCCATCTGCATCTCGTTCCTCCTCCGCTCGGGCGTGGAAGGGCCTTGGTGAGCCGGGGCTGGGAGGGTCCCCAGTGGGGTAACTGAATGGGCGGCATGGGGAAAAGACTCGGCTCCGAGCCGAGAGAATAAGCCGAGTACTCACCGCTCTGCTCCCCCAGGAACACCAACTTGAATTTTCGCAGCGGGTTCCCAAAATCTCCCCCTGCGGACATGGTGCTGGCAGCTGGGGCCCGGAGAGGAGGAGGAGGAAGCGGCGAAGGAGCAGGGAGGGGAGAGTAGGAGGGCGAGGGGAGGCGGCGGGCGGTGCGGGAGCCTGAGGGGGAAGGGTTGGCTTCGCGCGCCCCTGACTCCCCAGCTGCGGCCCGGCCCCGGCCTGCGGCTGCGTGTCCGACGGCGGAAAGGGAGGAGGCTGGGTGCGCGGCGCAGCCGAGGGCGGCGCTGGCTGCACGGGCGACAGTCGCGCTGTGGACGCCCGAAGCACGGCGCGGGCAGCTAGGCACGGGTGGAGCGGGGCGAGGGACCGAGCTGGGCGGAGGAGCGCTCTCCCGAGCAGCGCCACGCGCCCCCCTCCCGCCCGCCTGCTCCGCCCGCGCCTGCGCTCTGCGAGCTCCCTTGCCTCTGATGTCATGCGGGGCTCGTGGGCTTGCAGGGCTTGGGGGGCGTGCGCGCCAGCCTCCCCCTGCCCCACCACGCAGCCCGCCCGGGAGAGCCACCTCGCCTTGTGTCTACGAGAGGTGCCCCCCTCGGAGCGGCTCGCTGGGCCTAGCTACTTCTATTCCTCTCACCCACCTTGAAAAAAAAAAAGACACTACGTGATCTGGGGGGCTTTTGCTTCTGGTCTTTGACACCTAATGCGGGTCCCTTCCTCCGTCTCAGACACAGATACGCAAAGCAGTGGTCGGGCAGGGTGGGGCGGTAGGAAAGGGCCAGTGCGTGGTATAGTGGTCAATAGGAAGATGTGAAGATACCTGGTGCAGACGGGGGTGGGGGTGGGGGGGAGGTTCCTCTGTCGCCCCTGGTGGCCTCTAGCTCGCCCTCCCATCTAGGTCCAGACTCTTTATGGGGAGGGGCTGTGGTTGTTCGCAGCAGGTCTGGCCAGTGGGAGAGATGATGGATGCCCTTACAGGACCTACTTACAACAAACCACTGATTTGAATCCTAATCTGCTCTGATGGAAGCCAGCTCCACTAGCTCCAGGATAGTGCCCAGCCTTTTTTTGACCCTGAGACTACCAGCCTACACTCTTCTGCTCAACTATTTAGGTTTGTTTGTATAATGAGCTCCTCCTATTCTCCTCTACTTGCTGGGCACACACAGCAAGGTGAAAGCAAAGGGCGGACCCCAGAATAGAACTAGATGCTCTCCCAGGACAGCCCAGTCTAAAACATCCAGTTAATAGAGGCTTTACGAAGTCCCCCTCTTTCTGTCTTGCTGCCCACTGGCCTTGACCTCTGGCCATTCAGGGGATGCTTTTTTAGGAACGTTTGGAATGTGTGGTGTGTGTTACACAAGGAGAGCCAGGAGTAAAATGCACCCCAAACCTGCAGTAAATTTGTGCATTTACCCAGTCTGTACCCTCTAGAGTTTCCCACCGCTTGTTAAACCTCACAGTAAACTCCATGGAAGCAGCCGCTGAGGCTCCACCTGGAGTCCCAAGGATCTCACTCAGAGCTTCGGTAATAGTCACTGAAAGCTTAAACTAATGTCTAGAACGTAGATCATTGTAACCGTTCTATTCTCACCTTCTTCTTTGGCTTGGAGGCCCCGTGGCCGGAGATCATGCCCCTGGGATATAAACATGCTGTTGTTTGGCACCAGACGGGATAACTTTCCCAGGTTTCACCCAACTTCTGCCCTGAGTTTACTGCCATCCCAGGATCACCAAGCAAGGGCTGAAGAAAGTTCTGGCACATGTGTTCAACCCGCTGTCCACAGGCCACATGCCATGCAGGATAACACAATATTGTAATCATATGTAAAACACTGTGAGATATTGGAGTGGGGTTTTTAACTTTTTTTTTTTTTGCAGTTTGTTGTTGTTGTTTCTGTTTCCTGGTTTTCCAGTGTGAAGTTTGTAGATGACAACATTGTGTCTCAATAGCAGGAGGTTAGGCATCCCTACAAATACTCCTAAGCTCATCAATAGCAGGAGGTTAGGCATCCCTACAAATACTCCTAAGCTCATCAATAGCAGGAGGTTAGGCATCCCTACAAATACTCCTAAGCTCATCAATAGCAGGAGGTTAGGCATCCCTACAAATACTCTTAAGCTCATCAATAGCAGGAGGTTAGGCATCCCTACAAATACTCCTAAACTCAGTCCTCTCTGCCTATGAGCTAAAGGCCAGGGGACGTCAAGGCATCCAAGGAGGTCACATTCTCCACCTCATACCTCCTCGATGGTACTGTCTTCCCCACACTCTCTTATGCTGGCCTGAAGACATCATTGAGACAAGAGAAAGCAAGTTAAGATATGACAGAGAAAGCATGGTCTTCTGGGCGAGGCTAGCTGTTCTGATTATTTGACCCCATACCTTTCTCTCTTAATTTCTGGTCCTTCACATGCAAGTAGGGTGGACATTTGGAAAGGAGGAATGGGGCAGAGGACCCCTGGGCACCTCTGAGCCTCCAAGTCCAACTGGGGTAACCATGGACCAGAATATATTGTAGGATTCTTCCAACTATGATTCTTCTAGGTCAGATGAAGAAAGCTGGGTTGCTTGGGCAGGCCTCAGCTCACACAGTGTGGTCTTCATGCTGTGGGAATCTTAGCTTCAGATACTAAGAGTCTGCTGTATTCCAAATCTCTCTCCTACATTTTCATCCCTTTGTCTCTTAGGGGTATTTTTTTCCTCAGATATCTGACATTCCCATGATATAGAAAAAATAGCCACTGTATTTCTTAACATGGCAACCCCAGTAGAAAGAGTTTCTTCTGAATAGCATCCTTCTGGACCATTTGTTGAGGGACAAGGAACATAGAAAGAAACCATCACCACTATGAACACACCTAACATTTCTGATGTCCCTGGGGGCTTCCTTCCCTTTATTCCTTCCTCAGCCCAGAAACCCCAAACTATGACTTTTCTTCCCACTGTCTAGATGTGCCTCTTAACACTTGCACTTCTTTTGAGTCTTTTGAATTCATATTTTAAACTCTGTCTTATGATTTGCACTTTCCTTCTCCTTATGTTCCCAGGGCTCCCGTCAATGCACAGAGCAGAGATCCTGTCATTCCCACGACTGTTTAGTATTCCACTGTCTGCCCCAATTCTGAAACCATTTTCAGTCAAATGTGTCCAGTTTTTAAAGTTTGAAATAATTTTAGACTAACATAGAGGTTTCAAAAAATAGTACAGGATGTTTCTGTGTTCATCCAACAGTCCCACGATAACATCTTACATAACCACAGTACCTTAGCAGAGTCAGAAAATTAACCTTGGAAAATGCACCCAGCCTTCTTTCTGCTTGGCAAATGGTGCAGACAGGATTGCTCTCCTCCTGTTTCCTGGTGCACCTGTGAAAAGATTTCAAGGATATGCATAGAGGAGCTACATTGGGGGGGGGTAGAACCTAATGTATGTTATCTTTACACTAAAGACCATTATCAGAGCCTATAGCTACTCCCCTCCCCATATTTATTCATGTTCTTCAAGAAGGTCTTGGCTCTTTGCCCTTGGCCATTTATGTAAAAATGTACTACAAATTACTCTTTATTTGGAAGTCTCGAGAGGATAGGATAAAAGGTAGATTATTGAATTAACTTTAAACTAAAAATCAACTATTAATCTCAAATATTTTACATTGGTATGGATTTTGTATATTGATAAAAATTTAAGGTTATTTTCATCTCTACACTTGTTTAAGGCTGTGTACCTATCCAGCTTATTTAAAATGCAATGTATAATTAAGAAATACAGGTTAATAGTTAGTCATCTATAGTAATCAAACTTGTAGTCATGTTAGGTGTATATATATATATATATATATATATATATATATATATTTGGTTTTTCGAGACAGGGTTTCTCTATTGTTTGGAGGCTGTCCTGGAACTCTCTCTGTAGACCAGGCTGACCTCAAACTCACAGACATCCGCCTGCCTCTGCCTCCCGAGTGCTGGGATTAAAGGCATGCGTCACCACCGCCCGGCAGGTATATTTTTAAGGTTAAACAGGTGGTCTTCAAACACTTCAGAGACCTATAGAATATGGCATTTAAGATGTTTTTTAATAACATGAGGCTTTTCATGACAGACATGTCTGCTCCTAGCAGCACCAATTTACTTCAAAAAAGGATGATGGGCATCAAAGAATTTCCATATGGAGTTTGTTTTTATTGTGGCTAAGTTAGTAACTAGGCAAAAAACTGCCCTTGCCTCGACTGCTGACAGTATGCTGTCCAAATAGAAAGGCAGGACACAAAAGGTGACTGCTGAACTTTGCCAAGGTGGAAGTCATTCAAAATTCCTGCTTCATAGAAAAGTCTGTCAGATATGCTAGACCTGTAGGCCCAAGATGGATGCCCCAGTGCTGCAGAGAAATCTTGGGTGACTGTCCAGGCAACCAGCTACTTCTGTCGTTTCTATAGTTTTGAAGATATTTGCTCTGAACTTCTTGTCACTTAGGCAATATTATATCCTTCTCGGGTCTCTGATGGAGTTGAACATGAGATAGTTATAGTTACAGTTTTCTTTGTTACCAAAATCAGAAAAGAAACTCACAACAGAGGTATAAAGTGTATAAGGTTGAGAGACAAAAGCTAAAATTGTTTATCTAAGAAAATGTTTTGAAGCATAAAAAGATAGTTTGGGGTTGGTAATACAAGTTAGGATAGAAAGTAAATTAGGTACAAAACTTTGGACTCACCAAAATAGGATAGATAATAGAGTAGTTTCTTTGAATTTGCCAGATACAAAGGGATTGGACATTGTGAATATAATCCTTACTTGATAATTGCTCTTACTGTATGTAGTTTTACTGTGTTAGAGTTAAAACCTTTCCTTTTTATTTAGATAAAAGGGAGAAATATTGGGGGACATTCAATCACACTGTGAACCCTGAGTTTGGATTTGCATTAATTAAATAAAATTAACCTTGGGTCAGGAGGCTGCATTAGCAAATGTTGAGTGAAGCCTTTTCCTTGCCAGCTGCTTTGGTTTTCCCCACCAGTCGCCTGGGCTCTGCCACGTTGTAGTCCCCAAATAACACACAAGACACTGTATTAATTATGAAGCTGTTGGCCTTGTTTGTTTCTTACTGGCTACCTCTGACTTAAGTATTTACCCCATAATTGTTAATCTAAGTATTTATCTTACCAGAGAAAGGGTCCGGACTTCTTACCCCTATGGCAGCTACATCGTGACTCCCTGTATTTCTCCTTCCCAGAATACTCCTGGACTCCTAGTCCCACCTATCTTGCTTCCCTATTGGCCAACAGTGCTTTATTAACATATACACAGGACTTGCCCATCAAGCAACTAGTTGACAGAAAGTAATCAAAGAGCATCTAGAAGAGAGACACAGAAAGTATTAGGGAGGGATTTTGAGTAGCACAGATTTTTGTTGTTGTTTTAGCTGAGAAGAACGACAGACTTTTGGGGAGATGCCAGCAAAGTGAGCTGTGTGTGCTAGCAGGTTTTCACCCCAGCCTTTGAATCTCAAGTCCTAGTTATAAAGTAGAATGATAGTAATTTAGTTAAAGCTACCTTTAGCGGCAGTAACAGAGCTGCAGCCTGAGCACCAGGTCACTACCCGATTGTAACTGTGGTGTTACAATTGCTGGCTGAAATAAACAGTAGATTAAGGTGCAGCCACTGTGCAGAAGATAAAACAACAGAAGTCGTTATAGGTTCATAAACAGTTGCAAGCAGCCGGGCATTGGTGGCGCATGCCTTTAATCCCAGCACTCAGGAGGCAGAGGCAGGCGGATCTCTGTGAGTTTCAGGGCAGCCTCCAAAACAATACAGAGGAACCCTGTCTTGAAAAACAAAACAAACAAACAGTTGCAAGCAAGACAGACCTTGTGGGTCCTTTATCTTCCCCCCACTTCTACCAGGGCTGCATCTTGCAAGTTCATTGTCACAGCCTGTATATTGGCAACCAGGGAAAAAACATTCCCATGACCAGGAGGACTCTCCTGTGCCTGCTTTCCTCACACCTGCACCTCCTTTCTCACTGTCAATCACTGAACTATTTCATTCCCTTAAACTCATCATCTCATGAAATCACAGAGTGTGTAACTTTGGAAGACTGGTTTTTTCCATTCATGGTAATTCCATGGAGATTCTCAAGTTCCTGTTTGTACCGGTAGTTTACTTCATTTATTGCTGAGAGATATGTCAAGGTGTGGATGATAGTGGTTTTTTTATTCCCTCACCCAGGCAGGATGCCTGCTTTCTTTGCATTCTTTGAATACATTACTTTGTTAAAATAAATTGTTCTTTTATATACACGTAATTTAACCTTCTCAAATTTGGGGATTTTTTTTGGCCTATGTTTGTGAGTGATGTTCACCTGCAATTTTTTTTTCTTATAATGCCATCAATTTGTTTGGGTAACAGAGTCATGTTGGCCTTACCAAATGAACTGAGAAGTAAAGGAACTCATCAATTTCTGGCAAGAGTTTGTGTAAAATTTGTATTACTTCTTCAAAAGTTGGATGGAGGACTGGAGAGATGACTTAGTGGTTAAGAGTATTTCCTGTGCTTCCAGGCAGCTCATGACTAGCTCCAGGGGACTTTGACCCCCTCTTCTGGCCTCCATGGGCACTCACATACATGTGGCATACACTCACACAGACACACATAAAGTTGTTGTTTCTTTTTTTGTTTGTTTGTTTGTTTGTTTGTTTTTTGGTCTTTTGAGCCATGGTTTCTCTGTGTAGCCCTGACTGTTCTCTGTAGAGCAAACTGGCCTCAAGCTCAGAGATCCACCTGCCTTTGCCTCTTGAATGCTGAGATTAAAGGTGTGAGCCACCACCACCCAGCTAAGTTTTTTTTAATGGAAAAAATTTAAGTTGCAGGGAATTAACTAATGAAGCCATTTTTATTTTCTTTATGGGAAGATTTTTTTTAAATGCCAACTCAGTTCCTTTAGGAGACATTAGGCTCTTCACGGTATCTGTTTGTTTACTTGAGGGAACACCAACAGTTAGTGTCTTTCAAGGAATTTTCCCACTTAAGCCATACAATTTATGTGAAGTTATTTGTAATGTTGTCTTATTAATCTTTTAATTCTGTAAACTCTCTAGTGAAATGCCTCCTGTTCCAGATATTGACAGTTTATGTCTTTCTTCTTCCCTGCCCCCCAACGTTCTGTCTAGAGGTTCATTGATCGCCTTAATGCACTTTTGATTTATTGATATTATTTGTAGGTTTATCTTTTGTGAGTCTTGTGTGGACAGTCAGAGCTTCTGTGAGCTCATGAGTGCAGTGGCCCAGTCATATGCAGAAGGCACTGTTTTTGGCCTCTGGGTCTTACAGTCTTTCTCCCTCTTCTTCCATGATGTTTGGAAGAAGGATGTCAAACACATCACTTTGAAGCCATAACCTTTGTGGTGGATTGAGTGAGAATGACCCCATAGGCTCACAGATTTGAACTCTTGGTATCTGGTTGGTGGAGTTCTTTGGGAGGTTATGTAATCCTTGGAAGGTGGGGCCTTGCTAGATGTATGTCAGCTGGGCCAGGCTTTCAGAGTTTATAGCCTTCCCCCATATCCAGTTTATTCTCTCTGCTTAGGGTTGAAGACACAAACTCCTACTGGGGTCACCAGCTGCCATGCCTCTTACATCACTGTGGACTGTCCCTCTGGAACTGTAAGCTAATAAAAAGCTTTTTTTTAAATTTTGTAAAGGTAAAAAACCCTTCCTTTTCCTGCCCTCACCCCCATAGGCTCATGATTATATAAGATATATTTATCCCAACATTAAAGAGCCCCATAGTCTTTAAAGTTTCAACATTTTTAAAGTCTGAAGTCTCTTAACTGTCAGCTCCTATATAATTAAAAAAACAAGTTACACACTTCCAACATATAAAGCCACAGAGTAAATATATTTAAACATGGAAGAACCAGGTCATAGTAGAGAACAATCACACCAAAGCAAAACCAAAATCCAACAGGGCAAATAGAAAATCCTGCAGCTTCCTATCCAGCATCTGGAGCTCATAATATAATCAGCTAGGCTCCAAAAGGCTTGGATAACTAGAGTTCTCCAACACTGCCCCCACCTGCAACACACACGGATTCTCTCTAAGCCACCTCACACCATGCCTGCAGCTCTCCTTGACAGATGTCCCACAGTCCTGACATTTCTGATACCCTGGAGGCTCCATTATAACTGAGGTCTCCCTTCCACAACTTCACGAAATGGCCTCTTAGTATCTCTGCTCAAGAACACCACCCCACTACACACTGCCAGCCCTCAGCTGCTCATCAAGGGTCTCTAAATTTCATATCCTCCATCTGTCAGATTTTCCCACTAGCTTGGCATGGAGCTTGGTACCCTTGAACCAGTCACATCAGCTTCTGTGTGCTGGCCTTGGGGAAGCACTTTCTTAGGCAGCTACTTTCAAGGAGCAGGGAACTCTGAAGCTGGCTTTCCCCCTTTAAATGAATTTTTATCTTCACAAGATGGAGACCCCTGTGTGTGAGGATTTTACCTTCAGGACACTTTTCTTGGCATTGTGATCTAAAATAAACCCTGTTCTGGTTAAATTTCTATTGCTGTGATAAATGCTATGACCAAAAGCAACTTGAGGGGAAAGGTTTATTTCACCTCACAGACTACAGTCCATCCCTGAGGGAACTCAGGCCAGGAACCCGGAGGCAGGGACTGAAGCAGAGGTCATGGAGGAGCATTGCTTACTGACTTGCTCCTCGTGGCTTGTTCAGTCTGCTTTTTTATAGAATTTAGTACCACCTACCCAGAGTTAGTACTGCCCACAGTGGGCTGGGACTTGCCCACATCAGTCAATCAAGAATATGACCCACAGACTTGCCTATGAGTTAGTATGATGAAGGCCTTCCCTCTGCTCCTAATTCCAGATGACTCATCTTGGCTCTGGGTGACAAAAAACTAGTCAGCACAAACCCTTTACCCTTTAAATTGGTTTTATCAGAGTATTTTATCACAGTAGCAGGAAAATAAACTAAAACATGGTTATACTAATAATTTACAATAGAGCTAGATTTGCCTATCAGCCTGCATTCCACTTTGGGCTCTCTTGATAGCCTAGTTTGCATGTGACATTTTCACACAGTAAAACTACTTATTGTAACAATTCCTACAGATTTTTGAGTTATATATACACTGTTACAGCATCACACAGAACAGTTCTCTGAGTCCCTCTCTCACTCACAACAATGAATACATCCCTTCTCTCCAGTCTCACGCAGCTACTGACCTGCTTTCCATTCCTATGGCTTTGTCCTTCCCAGAATGTCAGACAAATGGGATCATTCAATACATAGCCTTTGGGATCTATTTTATCTCACTTAGGAAAATTGCTTAAGCTTCACCCATTTTGTGGAATTGCTAAATTGTTCATTACTTTTTATTGTTGGTCATATTTCATTATTTAGATATGCTATTGTTTTTTCTTAATCTGTTTATCAATTACAATACAGCTTTAGTGTTTCAGTTTGGAGAAATTATAAATAAAACTGCCATCAACATTCACAAACAGACTTTGGTGTTAGCATATATCTTCAGGCCAGTGGCATGGGTGCCCAGGAGAGAGGGTTCTCTATCCTATGGCTGACTTTGAAGAGGCTTCTGAACTGTTCTGTGTTTTTCATACAAATAGCACAACTCAAACATCAAAACCGTGTAAAATATTTTCTTTTTAAACAAATTCATAATTTTTATGGATTATAGTTTGCTCTTACTGTTGCATTACATAACTTATTGTATCATTGTGTCACAGGTTTTTCTACAATTATGCATAAGCACTTCGTGTTTCTAGTCAGTGCTAATGGATTAACTCAGCATGAATTTATTTATGATTTATGTATCGGTCTAATCTTATAATATTATATTCAGATAATATAGGTTCAGTGGGACCTATATAAGTTGTAAGTACTAATGAAATTGTATTTCTAGTCTAGAAAGTAACTGTATGGGGGTTGGGGAAATGGCTTAGTGGGTAATAAAGCTTGTTGTGTGGGCTACCATGAGAACCTGAGTTCAAAAGCCCGGAACCCACATAAAAAGCCAGGTGTGGTCACATGAACCTGGAAATCCCTCCACTGTGAGGGTAAGGAGACAGGAGGATATTGGGGTTTGCTTTCTTCCAGCCTAGCTCCAGGTTTAGGGAGGGACCCTGTGTCAAGGGAATACAATGGAGAGTGATAGAACAGGGTATCTGACATCTTTCTCTGGCTTCTGTGTACACACACAGGCACATGCAACCGTACATACGTGCATACAACACACATGATCTCATATACACGACACACTAATTAATTAAAGAGAAAACGAGCATGCAAAGCTTTACGTACAAAATGGAAGTGTAAGTGTAGAACCCAGTGGATGGAGACAGCAGTGCTGTGACCAGAACAAAAGACAGACGCCAGGGGCTGTGGAGATGGCTCAGTCAGTAAAGCCCTTGCTGCACAAGCATGGGGACCTGACTTTGATCCTAACAACCACAAAAAAGCTGGGTGGGCATGGCGCTATGCAAGGCTCAGTGCAGAGGTGGTGGTGGGTAGATCCTGGTCCTCGCTGGCCAGCCAGTCCAGCCAGACTGATGAGCTTCAGCTTCAGTGAGAGACCTGTTTCAAAAAATAAAACGGAAGTCGATCAAGGAAGACACCCAATGGTGACTTCCGATCTACACACACACAGACATGCATGCTTGTGTGTGTACACACACAAGCACACCACACACACAAGCACACACACACACACAAGCACACCACACACACAAGCACACCACACACACAAGCACACCACACACACAAGCACACACACAAGCACACCACACACACAAACACACCACACACACACACAAGCACACCACACACACAAGCACACCACACACACAAGCACACACACACACAAGCACACCACACACACAAACACACCACACACACAAGCACACACACAAGCACACCACACACACAAACACACCACACACACACAAGCACACCACACACACAAGCACACCACACACACAAGCACACCACACACACAAGCACACCACACACACAAGCACACACACACACACACAGTCACACAAAGATGAAAAGAAACTGGAGGAAGTTATATGTAAATGTCATAATGACAGCAACTATAACCTGTTAACAGCATACAATAACAAAAAGTAAAAACCTGGGTAAAAATGAGACAAGAGTCATAGATATTTTCAACTATTTCTGAATTTGCTAGGATTCTCATTACAGGCCAGGAAGAAGTAGTGAAATTATTGTCCTGAAAGCAGAATTGAGGGTACAATACATTTCCCAATATCCAAGTTGTAATTTTGACCAAATAAGATAACTGGATATTTCATCCAAATAACAGCACTTTATATGGAGAAATGGCAAAAACAAATCCTTATTTTAGTTATGGAAATCATACTTAAAATATGAAGACAAGAAAGATACTTTACAAATTGAACTTCAGTTAAGGTAAACCTGATAATGGATTTTCTATAGACTATGATCCCTTCTTCATACTATCAAAGATAATTGATGCAACATTAGAAAAATTATAGGTACTTTTTAAAGTTTGAGAAACTCATGTGGCATAAGAGATAACATTCTATGATATTTTGATATATTCTAGGATGTATAAATTAGTTTACAAAATATTGTTCGGTGTGACCTAAAAACCTGAATTGAATCAGAAATAAGAATATTTTGAATACTGTATATATGTCAAAAATAATCTTAGCTAGATATAAACAAAATTAGTCTCGACCATGCCAGAAAGTGTTCCAGCAATTTTAAGTAAATAACTCAGACTTATGAGAAGTTCAAAACAAATGTTGTCTAGATATTCAATAAACAAAGATAAAAATGTCAGTGGGATTTGATTCCTTCCTGGTATCACTCTCATGTGGAGTATCTAATTTTGAAAGGGCAAAGAAAGGAAAGACTATTATGATCTGGAAAAATAAGAACAAACATTTATTTTGCAGCTTTTTATAATACAAACCAAAAATGATTACTTGAAACAGTTTTTTAGAATGGATCAATGTGCATATTTTAATTATAATCACTGCTATTATATACATTGGCTGCAAAAATATATGAAATTTGTAAAGAACGTCTTATGTTAATGTATTTAGAATTATTTTTAAGTAAAAAATTGATTTTCGGTTCACGGTGCAAGGGTATAATTGATCTTGAAGGAGAAGACATACTGTCAGGAACTTGAAGAAGCTTGCTGTGGAACAATCCTTGTACGCTGTAAGTATTTGTCACTTGAATTGGTTTAATAAAGAGCTGATTGGACAGTAGCCAGGCAGGAAGTCTAGGCGAGGTGACCAAACTAAGGATGAGGGGAAGAAGGGCAGAGTCAGGAGTCATCAGCCGGAAGCAGAGGGAGCAGGAGATGAGCATGCCATGTTAACAAAGGTACTGTCCAGTGTGGCAGAGCACAAACAAGGAATATGGGTTAACTTAAAGTGTAAGAGCTAGTTAGTAATAAGTCTGAGCTATTGCCTGAGCATTTATAGTTTGTATTAAACATCTGAGTAGTTATTTGGGAACTGGCAAGTAGGAGAGAAACATCTGACTACAGCAGGGTGTCACAGTGTGTCCAAAGACAAGAAGCAGAGAGAAACTAGTGCTAGCGCTCTGCCCGCTTTTCCCGTCTTATTCCGTCTGAAGCCACACA